GACATGATAAATAAATATTGTAACGTTATATAATTTATATAATTTATAAAATTTGAAACTCTCCTCCCTGCACCCTTTGACTGATCACGTTGCGAATTTTTATTGTACTTGACTACAAAATGATTTATTCTAACATCACTGAAGATGGCTCGAATGGAGCCGAAACGTTCAATTATGTTGCAATTATCGTGTAAGATCTTGAAGTACATAGCTTTATTATTAGACATGAATTACCGCGTTGTTAAATACTTTCAATTGCCGGATTTAACTATCTTTATTGCTATTATCTCAAGAGTCCAAATTTATACTTTATTTTATTGATAATTTATGTAATAATAATATAATTTTATTAATATCTATAATAATATAATTTAATATAACATTATCGATGACTTAAATTTTCCGAGATAACCTTTTGCACTCGAATGGGGACTCTCAGTTGTCATTTGGTTTGATGCAGCAACAACTCGAGGGCGAATGAGAGGCGACAATGACTGCTTATGTTTAACATCTGAGCGAATTTTAAAGTATAAAAATGTAATGGTTTTATAATGTTAATTTATTTATATTTTATTTTATGTTAACTAAAAGAAATTCATGAAATTTTAGTAAAAGTGCAAGGATAGTGTCGAGTGCAAAGCTTTTTCATTGCCAACTTATATCTTCATTGCATTTATGATGTTAACTTTTAAAATAACTATTCATATATAGCAACTTGTATTTCTATAGCTGTTTCTAAATACGAGCTGTTTACGCTACGTCGCATATAGCATCGTGATTGAAAGTGCAGGTTGAGTCGATCGTGACCAACGCATTCGGAGCATAACGCGATTACAACTGCGTACAACATGTACACAGCGCATCTTGAAAAATTCATGTTGGCATTCACAGAGCACAGTTTCATTCATATTTTACTTACAATTAGTAATTTAAATACTCGTTCAGCCTGAGATCGTTCAGCCTATTCGTTTTTTATTTACAAGTGTTTACAAAAGGATTTTTCTATGTGTGTTCGCGTAATTCTATTATTTATAATTGTTTAACATTTTTATATTTTACATTCTCTACCTAATGAGAGTAGCCTAGGCTGACTTTTACCGACAAGTACAAATGAACTCAATAAATATCAAATTCTCATCGGGATGATTAGAGGGAGACGGCACTACTATCGCGCTGAGAAAAAAACGCGATACCGATATCTCGATATCTCTTAGGTTAAATCGTGGGGTTAACTCTCCCCCGCTCTCTCCACTTCCTTCGCGTACGATGCGCCGGGTCCAGGGAACAGGAGGTGGCGGAGGAAGAGGGCTCAGCATTGTTCGCGGACAATGTAAGCATGTCCGGAACAAAGAGCGGTAATCGACCTGTGTAACATTTATAACGTAATGGGAGGGCCCCTCTGGCCCATAATAATATCAATTACTGGGTTCGCGGTGGAGCGAGAGAGACACTAAGAGGATGGAGAATGCATCGGAAGGAGAACCGGCGAGGTTGGCGGGCGCGGGTGGAGGGCCTTAGATCGAGGGGAGCGGATCGGCGACGCGGATTCGCAGATCTGTCGGGCAGAAAATTGACGACGAGACCCTCTCTGCCTCCTCCGGCCGACCAGCTGTCTTCGGGATCGTAAGAGGACGCCGTGACGCACTCGTTAGGCCTCGTAATCGGAGAGTAACAAGATTCGCGTGTGAAGCACGACGACTTCGTGATTCCTGATTGCCCCAGTGGTATCCTGATAATACGCTATGGCTACCTAGATTTTTTCGATAATGATCTCGTACGACGGTTTCTTAACAAGAACGCGTGTTAACCCGATCTTTCACTACATTTGAGAGTACAATCTGTTAGGTTGTATATCTTGTTTATCTCGTTTACCATTTATTGTGTGTGTTCCAAATCATTTTTTGAAGACGTTAATGGATTTTATAAAATTTTTACACGATTTTTTGAATTGAATGTATATACAATCTCGATAAATTGCTGTCTTCAACAGGAGATTTTAATATTAAGGAACGCGTATTAATTAAGGCAGAAACTTGGCCTCGATATTTTTTCACGTATTTTTGTAAAGGTTCAGAAATTATGTGCGGAAATTAGAATACGATACTACGAAAAGATCACGAGATGATGATCCGCCGCCATGATTATTAGCATTAGGCGCGTCTGTCGCGCCTACGAATTTTGCGAGATCGTTTTTGAGGTTTCTGAGCTCGGCCGATGTTGTTCGGGGCAGGTGGGGAGCGGCGTGATACCGGTCGAGAGTATCATAGTTTTATTCTTTCCACGACCGGGGAAAAAATGTAATTGGCTTGACCGAAATCTACCGCCGAGGGTGGAGGAGACCGCGCGAACGGGGGATGCATGGGGATGTGAACGAGGGAGAAAAAGCGCGTGTGCGAACGGGGCGACCTCTCGTAATAACAATGATTAGGACGACGAAGCGATCCGCGAAAAAACGAATAAGAGGTGATGGAGAGGGAGTTGTGCAACGAAGCACCTTCAGCTCCATCCTAAAATGGCGGCAAACAGGGAGGCTCGCATGAAACGCTGTTGTGTAACATTTTTTGGCTGCAAAATAATAGCCTTATTTTGTTATCCAGAAACATATTTATTTCAATTGCACGTAAAATCGCATTTTGATTTTATATATAATTTTTATGATTTGCCAGATAATAATCCTTATCTAAAATCGAGACATAAGACGATCTTATGTCCTGATTTATATGCTGTTTGAGACTTTAATCAAGATATTATTGACTTAGTCACGAAATATATATACTTTTGATCATACTTGTGTTGTAACTTAAAGACCTTGTGTGCCACTTAAAGAAGAAATAGTATTGTATTTTTATTTTTGTCAAAATAAAAAATTATATAACAGAGAAACGATAAATAATACACAAGAAGAAGCTTTCTCGTGGGTATCATTTCTTTAAAAAAATTTAATAATAGATATAAGTATTAAATTTATTAGAGAATAATTATTTTATTTTGAGTATTAAATTATTAGTGTTTTTAATATTCAAAATACGTAATCACCATATATAACCAATTTAATATTTACAATATTATATTCTCTAAGAGTTCATTCTATTAAATCTATAGTGTCAATTTTAAATTAATTTTACTCGCCACTACTCCTACTAAATATATCGTTATTTTATATTAAAACGATAATTAAATTTGACACGATACATTGTCAAATTGACAATGTATAGTGTCAAATACAACCATTGTTTTAATATAAAATAATGACCCGGCGGTCAGTAGTGATGGGGGACGCATGTTTTGTGCCCTTCTGCTCTCGTACCTTTTGCGATGGTCTGGAAAAAAGAGGAGCATTCCCGTACTTATAACGTATGCATACGTATGATTTTCTGCATCTCCTCTATTTCCTGCCTTCCTTTCCGGGAGTCATTAAAAATCCACTCCGCCCGCCGCTACGCAATTTTAGAATTTTCATAAAGCACACGTCAAAAAAAAAAGCGCTGGCAAACGAGCGGCCGTAGTTATATCACTATTAAAAACGCATTAATCCCAAAATCCCGTGCTTCGGCATCGCTGTGCGCTTTATACCGACCGTACGACATAAACGGCCGGAACTCCAACGTTGTGCCCGCCGCGTGCACTCTATCCAAGATAGCGGTGCAACGTTCGCGGTGCTATTACCGCATTCGCGTTTTTGCTCACGCGTATGTTGAAGAAAGCCACACTGATTTCGCCGAACGCATCATCGTGGTGAGGATTCACGCTGACGTGTGGTTATCATGCCATTTCCCATAAATAAAGGGTAGCGCAATACGTGAAACTAGTAATAGTGTGAGTTTAGTGTACAATGTAACGTCTTAAGATTACGTTGAAATATGATATAAGGATTACTTGTTCTTCGAACTTCTGTAATATGAACTTACATGTTATAAACAATATTCAAGAGATATAAATTATATAAAAATATTTTTTTTCTAATAATTTAAATTATGACATTTAATAATGACATTTATAAGACGTATAATTTATACTAATTGAATATTCAACAGCATCTAAGAGAAAATATAAACGTGTCTATATTTTGATATATAAAATATATTTTAGAGGTAGTAACTTATGCTATATTTTAACACGAACATAAAATTTTGTTTTGTTTCAACAATATTTAACGAGAGAACTTTGGGGAATACGAGGAGAAGTTTGCATTTGTCATCACGAGAATCCAACGGCATTGTTCCGCACTTAAGATTAAAAGGCAGCGATTCAGTCAACCCCGACGAGGGGTGGCGAACGAAATGGATGCAATATTACGAACGTCATTGACAACGAGAGAATAACGAGCGACGCGGGAAAGCCAGGAGCTTCTAAAGCTCCGTTCGCCGCTAATGGCACTTCTCCAACCAACGAGGGGGAGATTTTAAGTTCGTTTCGCGGGAAAACTGTTGATTTTCGTCGAACGAGGAATTACTTTCCTCGCATCATCTCTCTCTTAAATCATGGATCGATTGTCGAACAAGCATAAAAAAAAACCCTTGTAGCACAATTCGTTGGCACAATAATTATTGGCATAATATATCTCCAATACATGTCAATGTTTAATCAATGTACATATTACCAATGAATTGTGTTATCGGGAAAGAATTCACATCATAAAAATTGTTTTAAATCAAATATTGGAATAAGGCAACAAATTAATATATTTTATATCTAAAATTAATGTTTGTTAATATTTAAAAGAATTTTATTACTTGAAATGACATATACATCACCTTTTTAATATTACACATATATATATATATATATATATATATATTATACAGTTTACAAATTATTTAAATGTAATATAAAGTTTTAAAATATTATAACAAATATTAGCTGTCAACAGAATTTTTTAATATAAAAAAGTAAGCTCGTGTAAGTGCAACGCAATAAATTAAAATGTCAAGGCTTTTTTTAAAACAAGCAAATGTATTTAATAGTTCACTACATTTGCTCGTTTTAAAAAAAGCCTCGACATTTTAATTTATTGCGTAGAATTTTCTAATACACAATATGTACTAAATTATACTTATGAAAGCCGTCAATCGGCTTCGAATTCCACGAAGTATCACAAAGAACCAATAGAAAATAGCATTTAAGTCTAGGCGACCGTCGTTTCGTCGAACCATTTTTAATAAGATCGTGGCATAAAACGATGCTAAATAGTATGAGTCCTTGTAGTCACTTCCCTCTGCCTGTTAATGCTAATGATGCATCCTGTAAAAAAAAATATCATATGCTAGCCACGAGATTTTGATATAAGGAGAGCAAAAAGACGAAGCGTCGGTGGAGTCAGGAGCGGAATCAAGAGGGAGCGCGACGAGAGACACCCTTCTGTGTGCCTAATTCGATCGAAGGCTCATTATGATCTTAGAGCTCGTCCCGGCAAACCTAGCATTAGTATAAACACGGATCGGGAGTACCATTATCCGAGCCGCGGCGGTGGCCCGTTTTGAATACGAAAGGAGCAGAGATATTATGTTAATCGGCCGGACGATATTACAATATGCGATCGGACGCGTTGTTCCCTTCCCACAAGAGCCTTTTTCAGATTTTTCGCCCACGTATAAAGTCGCTTACGCGTATATGTATGCGTGTCTCTCTTTCGAGCGAGAAAGCAATATTATATTATAATAAAAAGAAAAGGACAAATTAATAATAAACGGAAGAAGAACGCGACGTCGGCGTCGGCGCACCGCAGTATCTCATGAATATTTATTTGGGTCAGACTTAAACAGTTCGAGGTAGCCTTTTGACGCTTCGTTAAGCGTCCGACAAAGGGGCTCGTCCATCGACCATGCCCTTTTTAACTTCTACAAAGTAATTAGACGTCGCGAAGATGTTCCACCTAGTCGTCGCCTAACTCGCGATGTCTGTTCTGTCGAATTCAGGAGCGAATCGATTTTGGGGTTGTCGAATCGAAACGAGGATAGTCTGATACGAGATAAAGAGGGTAGAATATCACCTTGAATTCATGTTACCTTTCTTGTCTCGTCTTTGCAGATTAGGGAGATCTAAATTGCAGCGCGAAAAGAGTTAATAGCTCGGTCGACGATGCTGATTGAATAAAATATTACTTATCTTTGATAGATAAAATATTTCTCGCTTAAGATACGCGTAAAATAAATGCATCACGTATCAACAAACTATTCACGACCATACCGTTAGTTCTATTAGTTTAATCGGATTATACTATAATTCTAACTTCCGGTAATTACATGATATATTACATGATATTAGAGGATATCAATTTATCTCGTTCTTCAACATACAATTAACAGGTATTAAGACAAAGCTACATACACTTTTTCGTACTTATATAATATCTTCGTCTGCATATTATTGAAAATTGCTCGCGAAATAGTTTTTCCACGAGAATTCCTTTAAAGGTGGGAGAAATACAGATTATATGGAAACAATGTTACGCAATCACGTAGAGGAATGATTATATACGTTAAATTCCTAGAAGTGATTTCTGCATCGCTTTCTGCGGATCAACGCGTTCTCGCACGGGGCTATCAATTATTGAAGTAACTTTAATTACAATCACATACGTAACCGCCGCGGCAAATATATCCGCGATCTGTACTTACAATTACATCACGAATTGTATTCTCTACCCGTTGAGAGAGAGCTAACGCGCGTAATTTTAGGTCTTGTTGCCTCTCTCATTGGTTATCTCTCAGCATTATCGAAGTAGCAATCATTTTCAAATGTTAGTGCGAAACAATCCCCGCGAATTAAAGTCATAATAATATCGATTGAAAATTACTGACATTTCCGATTAATCCTTTCATCAAGAACAATTACATTTCATCGAAATTAATCCTCGTTCTCTATAAATAACATTTTACTATCTGGTCAATATATAAGAAAGACCATTAATCACGAAAAATATCACGCAAGCAATCAATTTAATTCAAATAGAAAGAGTTTCAAAACTCTGATATTTGAATTAACTGATTAGCTTTATCCAGGTAACAAAATGTTATTTTAAAATATTATAATAACATTAGATATAATTGAAACGTTATTCATAAAATAATACTAATCTCTCTTTTGTCATTAAATTTTTTCATTCAATTGTTGACAGACACGTCAAAATTGCTCCTTGTAAAAGGAGATATATCGTGAAAGTATATATCCTCTCGCGAAAATTGCGCAGTGGCTGTCTTTGAGTTCGAGCGGATTATATGGGTGGCAGAGTTGAATGAAGGGTGTAGGAGGGTTCGGCTACTGAGGGATCGTTGTTGCCATGGTAACACCAACCCCGTCCTCTGGTCGTTTGCCATTCCCCCCTTCCTCCGAGAGGGATTCCTCCGACTGGGAGGGTGCGATCCATATCTGCTAACGCGGAGTCACGTTTGAATGGCCATTTTGTGTCTGCATTTGTCGAAGAATAATTCAAATTCGAAATGCTGGCATGACTTATTATTTATCTCGATTAATTACGAATACTTTTATTTATTTTATTTTCTTAATGTTTATATTGCTAAGTTAAGATAAACGTGCTAATAAACGTTTATATAATACTCTGTTTTATAGTATTTACAGATTGATCTTTAGTAAAAAATTATGATAGTATTTAGACAGAATATAGTCAGCCAATTTTATTTCTAATTCCACTACAAATAAATTGCAAAACTTTTCAAGATCTTTAATATTGTATTTTAATAATTTGTATTTTAATATAAACAATTACACTATTGACTTACAGAATTCTTTGTGTTAAAAATTGATAAATGGAGTAAAAATATAAATTTTATTTATAACAATTTAATATTAAATAAAGAAATACTACGATTAGAAAAATTTTTTCTGACTGTTTGATTATTTCCATGCAGTTATTTCCATTAATGTAAACAATAAATTGTTTCTGTATAAAGTATAAATATAGAGTGCGATAATACTAGGCGCGTCGTAAAGCAAAAAGTTAAGCTTCGCACATAAATGGTGCGTACAAAAGAACCCGCGTGTCAAAGTTGACTGGGAAAAATTCTGAAACAAAGAACGAGGAAGCGGTGATTAAAAACAATATTGCATGCTGCTTCGTAATTGCGTGTTTTCGTATTTATATAATCTCCACTGAGCTCTCCGACTTCGTAAATTTACAGTGATGATACACATAGCCTCTGAGTATTATTTGATGCACTTGATACACATCGCGCTGCACGCCTTTTAATATCTGTAGCCGCGGCTGCGGAAACAGAGAGAAAAGAATGTAAAATTAAAATGCTCCACGTGTTGAGCATTTCAAGCTTAGAATTCTATAATGGCACAACAACGGAAACGTTAAAACAGTGTATTCCCTGATTTGCTTGCGCCGACGAAAAATTTCACTCGATATAAATGTACATATAACGATACATATTTCAATATTATTAAAAAAGAAATGAAAGCTTCATAAAAAGTGTATTAATATGCGTATAAAATTTAACACAATAAAAAGATTTGATTTTTCAAATTCATAATTTTTCACTATCAATAATATCTCTGCAATGACAAAAAAAAATATTTGAAAGGGTTCGATTAGATTGCTTAAAAATCTTGTCTACGTTCTATGGTATGTAAAAAGAAACATAATGTCCAAGAACAGCAATTATTAATTACGCCTCGTAGCTATCATCACTGGTATCATTAAACGAACGCAACGGCGGCAGTTAGACCGTCAACACCGATAATGTCCCACGTCATTAATTATTTCCCGACATTCACACCTCTCACATCGAGGATCGTGCTCGCACAGGCGATGAGGAAGCAGGATAATTAAGAAACAATTGTTTCCAGCGCATTAATCCGGCGTTCTCGCAAGCGTTGTGCATAGAATTTTCAATGACACTTTCAAGAACTCTACGAGGCCACTCTAACTCGGCACCCCTTCGAGTGTACATATAGGGGTGCACTGTCGCGATATGGCTGCATTGGCCCTCAAGCATCAATTTTGAGAGTCACGCTCTTACAATCTATTACGACGTTAAGAGGAAATAATCATGCGGACAATTAGCAAAGAGTATACCTCAGACGATGTATGTCGATTTGCGCAAAGTATAGAGATACTATCAAATTTACACGTCGCTGCAGGCTACTTTGTATGTACCGAAAGTAATCAGACAATGTTTGAATACCAATATTCTTATTAATACATGATAAGAGTCTGATCGTATGTAACATGTGTAAACATGGGCTATTAAATAAAATCAAGAACATGTGTCTGTCTTAAGACACCTAATATATTACGCATAATTATTCGAATTAACATAATTAAAAATATCTTTCTTGAGTTTAAGTGGGTGTTTCTTTGCGGACAGAAATTTGCACCTTAATGTGTCTTCTTTTGCATGCACGTGTATCTAATTTCTTATACATTCACAAGTGCTCGGATATACGTCACCGTATCTGGCGCTTGATTACACACGTAATAGCATACAAGAGAAAAAAGCGAATGACAAAAAGTGATTTTATTCCCAGCTTTGTTATTATATAACATTTTTTTTACCATAAAAAGAATAAATTACTCCGTGTTGTTATTATATAACAACATGGAGTAATTTGTTCTTTTTATATTAAAAAAAAAAATAAGATTGCTGCTGGAAAAATTATATCTCATACATCTTTATTGTGCATATTTTGATATAAAATTATTCTTTTTTTTTTTTATAAATAAACAATTTTTTTTCCTTTGTTTTAAATACAAATATTTATCTTTGTAATCAGGATTATTAAATTGGCAGAAATGAATTCCTTCCATATTTAAATTTAAATTCGCATTTAAATTTAAAGAGTAATAATAACAAAGAAGGGCTAGAAAGTAAGACATGAAAATCTTGAGATCCTCCCCTAACGTGAAATTGCAATATTCCGAGCAACCCTATCTTTTCTACGATATTACAGCCTCATGCAGGGAGTGAAAATCCCGATCGAACTATTTAGCCGCCCTTGAAGAATCGTCCTGGCCGAGGGAGGGAGGGGGGAGGGGGAAGGAGGGGGTAAACGGAGAAGGGAGGAAAGGGCGTAGATATCCCTTCGAAGCTTGGCTTGAGGCAGAGCTGCGTGGTGGAGGCCCATTTGCGATGCGAGTAACCCACACCACACCCCCCCGAGATATCTTCCACCTTCGGCGAGTTGCTTCCTATATACATATATATGCGCGCGGTGGGCGATGCACATGCAGCCAGACGCGGGCAGAACCTATCTGCCATGCACGATCGCTCGGTTGCATATAGGCTGAGACGCGCAGCACGTCATTACGCGCGCGGAAAGCAAAAAGACGAGCGCCTCACGGCCGGCCAATCGCCGTTCGCGTGCTAATGAATCTGAACCGGCCTGACCAATGGTGGGGACCACGTACACCGTTCCCGCTTATGTGTGCCCGATGTAACCCTCGCAGCTACGTCGCGGAACCGGCCAAGGGTGTGGTGCCCTTCGATCGGGGACTCGAGTATCGCACGAGATCGGGGTTGAGCACGAATTACCTGCAGGGAGAGAGAATTTTGCTGCGCGATTTTTCGGCTGATAATGTTCATCGTGTTAACCGCTCGGGGTTAAAATATTGATGTCGTAATGCCGAGATGGGCGTAAAATCAGTTTAGTAGAATCGAAATAGTTGATCCTAATTCGCGTATATAAATTTTTCTGGGCAAATTTATTTTTATATAAAGCAATGAATATCGAAACAGAGATCAAACAGAGATTAATCTCTCCTTAAATGCATCAAGCTTTGCAATGGTGGTAATCGATATATCGATGTAACCGAATGTAAACCTCTCATACACGATGGGACAACATTGTAATAAAAATCTATGTTTTCTTTTTCTTCTAATAATTAAACTTGAAATTTCCTATGTGGCTTTCACTGTACTTGAATCATGTGCAATGCACGAGCGATCACTTAAAAATTAATTTGCATTATCAATAAGTAACTACGTGTCGTCCCTGGGGCTACTCTAGAGGTGTACATACGTAGTAAGTTGATGTCGGGGAACTCACGCGACTGAATTTTTTATTCCCTATATACCCCTATCCCATAAACATTATGCTCGCCCATCGGCAACGTTACATAAGCAATAAAGTTAAATTTCATCTAAACCTAAGTCGAAGTACATCGAATCAGTCGCCGCCTACGTATTCAGATATTCCTTTAAAAGCAGTAATCAACATACTCCGCGAACATTCGTTATTCGCATCGCGAATCGAGGTCAATGAATCGAACAGCGTTCTTTTTTTCGAGGGTATATCATTCTTACGCCTTCGATGCGCATGTCTTCCAGAACAAAGGTATACAAATGTCGATATCATCCATGCGTTCTCTCGGGCTTTGAATTGTCAGTCGAATTGTCTGTCGCTACGTGTACGAGACGCGCGCGTGGAAAGCCAAAGGGAATAAGAGTAACCAAAGTTTCGGGAACGTCGCCTATTTATATACCTGCAATGTGTACATATAAAGTCCCTGCACGCGTTCGTGCACAAACGCACATTGCCGTGCAGTCAGAACGCGACACGGCGCGGCTTCGCGCTCGGTGCATGTGCATTGCCGCTGCGATAGAGAGCGGCGCGGAGCGGTGCAGTGGAGTCGGAGAGGCGCTCAGGGCTATCATTATGGCGGCAGTAGACACTCCCTCCTTATCGCCGGTTTCCAGCACGAGTCCCAGACGAACGAACGAACGCTCGCAGCTTCGCTTGCTCGCCATCATTATGTTTTCCGCGGCGAGCAAGAACGCGCAGCGCCGAGAGAGAGAGAGAGAGAGAGATAGAGGGGAAAAAAAACAGAGAAAGAGAAAAAAAAAAGAGAAAACAGGCACTGTATTTCCGTATACATGTCCTGCATGTACATGCACAAGCGCGCTGCGCGATGGAGAATGTGTGCACACGGGCGTGGATGCCAACGCGGCCAGAGCACCGAGTCTCGCGCGTATCTCTTTCTCTATCTCTCCTTTTCTTCTTTTTTATTTTTTTGTTTTTTATTTCCATAAATATACCTCTGAGCTCTTTGATGTTTCGCAGTTGATATTTTGGAGAAAGGCTCCTAAGCACGTAGATGAAAAGTGAACTGGACTACGTCGTAAAAGAGAAGGCTTTGAGAATTTTGTAGCGTTTCACTTGCTATCAAATAATGTAGGAATAGCTTTCTACGGGAAGCGTGTTTGCTTACATGAAAAAAAGAGAGTTTTCGCGGTGAGAAATTTATATCTCGAAAAACATTATTTCTTGTGACGCATCGGTATCAGTGTAATTTCCAATTCCAGAAAATACGAAATCGTTGGCAACGGCGGAAGAATCGCTATTTCGCAAGAGTAACATGACGGAAGATAAAGAGGCACGGTCGACGCAACGCAAGAGATATGAATTAGATCCAGCTGTAGGGCGTCTTTATATGTGTCGCTTTCTTAAACTCTTTTTTTTTTTACGACTGCAGAAATTACGGGGCATACACGAGCAGTAGCAGCGCACACGACATGAACGAATCGCATACGGGTGTGGACCAGAACGCGGTCACCATTGAGCCGTACGTTCTTTCATTTCCTTAAATACAGCTCGGCGAGCTCTGATACTTTGTAATCGATAGTTGTGCGAAAGAGGTATAAGCATGTAGTAGAAACTGGACTGACCGGAATGGCAGACCGCAGAAGCGCGGACGTCTGTCATTATTGCGAATAATAATGGTTGCTTAGCGTAGCGGTTTAGTTGTAACACTGACGTTTGCTCTCTCAAGATTTAGTGAGAAAGCACGGCCTTTCGTAACTTCCAAAGTTATACGCTCTACATACCATTTGTTGTATTGTAGAATAAAATAAATAGAACTAAATAAATCACATGATTCCGAAAAATAATTTTATTTTGTCAAATTAAAAATTCCGAGGGAGGGAAGAAACATTTTATTAAAAAAAAATATTTGTGTAAGTACAGGATCGCTTTTTCTATCGTGATAAAAAGGAAAATTACGTTGCAAGAACGTAAACTGAATTGATATGTCATAAATTGTAAAAAAAAAAAAAATAATAATACATAACGCGATCGCATCATCATCTATAATTGCGCATCTATACCTTCGCGGAACTTGTTTGTCGCTCATTTTTTTTTACATTTCAACGAGATGCTTTTGGCGTTACAAGCGTTTACATCGATAACAATATCAAGTTGAACCATCACGCGTTAATTGTCTTCCGGAAGAAATCGTAGTTTTACCGAAAGGATCGAGATAACACTCGATCGTGGAATAGCGCGCATAGCGATTAAATACAATGGGCACGATCATTATAATCCAGGATCAGATAATACCTACTGAAGGCGATCGCCTTCATACGCGAACGCGAAGATAACTGCTCGCCTCTGTTTTAGGTCGTTGCTGATATCATGACACGATCTAGGAGTTAATGCGCCAGCGCGATTGATTCTAACGGCAATTTCGTTCTCGTGCATCCACAGAATCGATAGTACGCGATAATTATTGTGATTCATTTACTTCTTGTAACGCAGCTGCCTAAGTTTCAGCTTACTTCCTATCTTCTCAAATACTCTTCCTATCATCCGGAATATAGTTAGTCTATTATTACATGTCTAATTATCAATTGGCGCGCTGCCGATTATTTTTTCAATGATTGTACTTACTTTATTGCTTTTAATGTAACTAATGCCGATACGATCAGTGCATCAGAAACTTACTCAGATAACCTTTCGCAATTTCTCTTTCGCTATTTAGTAAAACAATATTATATTGTTATACTACATTTTACGGACTATTTTATTTACTAATTATTGTGAAGCATTTTTTTCACAGTGTAAAATATTTTCTATAAGAAATTAATATTAGTTTAAAATTTTTTTACTCGAATGAAAGCAAAGTTATCGCACAATACTTCGATTTGTATGACAATTTTACAAGTGTGCAGCAAATTTAATCTTGCATGACGTATTTATATTTTTTATATTTTTTAAAAAACTGATCCTTACCTTTAACAAATCCTTTCCGTGTGATTTTTACAAAATGGTTTCTTAGAGTTTCTAAAAATTCAGGGAAGTCTTTCGCAGTCAGGCAGACAGCAGAAATTTGCAGGTATCGGTTTTTAAGCGACAATTACTGTACGACTCTCGAATCGTAAACGTTGTAGCTTGATCGGATTTCCAAGTTTTGTGAAACTCGGCACGATGCCAACATCTGCCAACAGCTGAAGCGAAATATAGAATAATTATTACATCTAATTGCAAGGATTACACGGGTCAGAAATTTAAAAAAAGAACGAAATTTTTAAGCAATCTTATTATTTAGACAAGTTCAACTGTTTCACTTATTACATTTATATAACAAAACATTAATACAGTGTTTCAGTTTTCTAAGAGATCTTTCAACAAGTTTTCTTTTATAAATGTACTATGCTCGATACTGACACGATAAAGAGAGAAATGTCTTCTGAATCTTTAAAGTGCCATCGAAAGAATGATACTCGTATATAAGACTGACATTTACCTAAGAGTCGTTATAATGGTTTTCTCTTTTTGCGTAATCAAAGTGACTTATTATATGTTACATACACAAATCTATACGTTAAGTAATTATATTCTTCACGTGCAATACATCACCTTGAATGCTTCGACAATAATTTTTCGTATAGAAATATAACGATGCAATCGACTGACACTCCCATAATTACCTGCTAATTATCTTCGTTCAATATATGAGAACTGATGAATGGACATTCGTCGATCGTGACGTGTTTACGTAATCGCTAGCATACGTTCTTTTCATCGGAAAATGTAATATTGTTCAATCTTTTTTTGGTTTCCTTTTGCTGTTTCCTTGATCTGGAAACCGTATAAATTTGCCATTCGTCTTATGCTCGCGTGATAAGGTCTGTTATTAAATATGACTGCAATAGATCGATAAATATGAATGTCGAAATTCAGGATCGACAAATCTGAGTACGATAATGATCGGATCGCGGTTTGCCAGTTGCACAGCAACAACAATGCCGAGCGCACGTACATCGAAGGCGACATGTGCGCCATGCAAGCGTCTATGTCTCGTACAACACGCACGAGGAGACCTTTTCACTGGAACTCGTCGAGGGCCACTCTAAACAAAGCCACCGGCAATGCTACGTAACGTTACACGTATAGTCGACAATACGTCATCGCAATTGATTCACAAAATAAGTCATCAGAAACGCAACTGGTAAACCCTATCTGATATTTTTTGTCCGATAAGCATAAACGTTTAGTATTAACGTTTGGACGATATGCAAACCGGTCATTGTTTGATCTTCTCTTTAATTGGTAAAATTTTGGAAGATCTTCAATATATATTTAATCAATTGATTATTGATCCAAATAATGGATTACATAAGTTCCAGAGAATAGAATTTCACTATGTTACACCTGTCCCAAATAACACACGTGAGTGGTCGCCATGTTCCATCACACAATACACTCATACCACGACAAATAAATTGAAGAATAATGAAAAGAAAAGTGTCGCGGTTCACTCTATGAGAGAAGCGATAACGTGGTGCGGATATTCCGGTAATGTGGTCTCGATATGGCTTCTGTAACTTTCTTCTGACCGCTATACTTTTTCTTGTGTTCGCCCCGACTGACCGACCGCCATGTCTCGGTTACTCACACTACGAAGAAAGTTCTCCACCGCAAAATCGAACTCGAATGAAGAAGAGGAAACGCGCTCTGCCGTGCAAGCAGGAGCATGTGACAATCCGCTCGCATCGAGGACCGAGGAGAGACTCTATAAGGTGGTTTCCATCCCCCAATAGCGCGGCTGGCGCGCTGGCGGTCCCGACGCTGCAATCATTCCCCGGTAATGATTGTCATTACCGGGCACGGGAGGGCGAGCGAGAGCGGGTGGACGAACGGAGCAGAGGGATTGGCCTGCATTGCGATTGCGTTTCTGTCTGGTCCCATTGGCCGACAAACTGCGACTACGGACGCGTCTGTCCCTCAACAGACGATGCGGCGACCTGCACCGGGTGGTGGAGGCTAAGTAATATTTCCCCTTTTTTGGACGATCTTTATTTGATAGGAATCAACCGTAATCGCGGGCTTCGATTGTTAAGCCGCAAGTACTTTCAGAAAGGGACTTGGATCGATGAAGATTGTGTTTATCGATTTTTGCTGCTCGCAAAGAGGAGAGCAAAAGAGAGTTCCAGCTGCGTTTTTTGCGACCCGCAGGCGGTAGATTTTGATTAAAGAGTCAAGATATGAAGCTGCATCAAAGTGTTATCAATGCACACCTTTTACGCACCACAAAAGAGTAAAGATGTACTAATTGTAAGTCTCTGTTATAATTATAAATACACACGATTGTTAGGAAAATATTTCGCAAATTAATTTAAATATCTTGTCAAATATTTATTGATAGATTTTTTTATAATTAATATATACTTCCAAATCATATACTTTTAAATATATATATATATATATATACATATATATATATATTAGGTGGAATTAAAATAAAAAAATATAATAATTGTATGTTGCTAAAGATAAGATTACTAAAGCTTGTATAATTTTAATAATAACGACGCAAAATTTACTCAAACACAAAACGATACCTAGAGGAACGTGCCACTCTCTAAGCGAAAGCAACCCTCATTCGCATCTCGACCCGCGCCCATTCATTACTACATCTGTAGCACTCACGCGTGGCCATTGAGCGGAATGCAAGTAGCAAATTAACCTGAAATGCCCGGCTAACTTTTCTGAATGGAAGATTACTGACTCGTGCGTTCAGTATCTGCGGTAATGTCCGCCTCGCGTTATATCGACTTTTTCTATGTTGATAATGAATATGTGATTCAATGGTCTATAATGATTTATTCTAAGATCTTTTCCCACGATAGATGATTTTTAATACGTTGTGAGAAGCAATTATTAATGCTTCTGCTAAATACTTTTTTTCAATAGATATGATATTATTTATAAAACTTTTTCAATTTTATTTAATACTATAGTTTATCAAAATATGTTTACTGTTTTTCAAGTTTAGCATTTCTTTTTACACTTCATTATATTTTAGAGATACTTCTACAGTTTTATATTAATGATATCCCTCTCTCTCTCTCTCTCTCTCTCACACACACACACACACACACACACACACACACACACACACACACACACACACATATCAATTTTTTAAAATATTTTTCATATTAGTAATTACAAATTACAGTCATGAAGTGTACAATTAATAGATTTGTTGAACCGAATATTATCAACTCGACGAATCGATTGTGCGAATTTAAAATGTCGGCAGAAAGAATGAAAGTCGAGCCAAGGGTGAAAAGCGCGTTGGTACCAAAAGAATACATCAAAGCAACAGATATCATGGTAGGGGCCTTTCATGGTAGCCATTATCGCATTACTTCTGCATGGCCGAACGTCATTTACCTCACACCCCCACGATGATTTGAGGGCAACCGAACCACCGACACCCCTCGCACGCTTTTGGACTGGTGAGACTATTATATTGCATTGGTCCATTGTCAAGTTCACTGTTGGATTAATCAACATTACAATTTCTAAATAGTAAATATCCAAAATATTCTATTTGTATGCTAAACATAAAAAATTAATAAGTCTTTATAGAGAGTTGATTATATTAATTGTTTTATACAATAAATAAATATAAAAATATTGTAATTAAAATAATATTTGAATTTACATCAAACTTAATTCTTTAAAATCTCTAATTTTTTTAACAATTTAAAAGTTTGTTGATAATCCAAGCAATAAATAAAAAAACTGAATTAATTCAAAATATTACTACAATTGTATGTAAGAATATCACGAAATGCAGAAGGTTAATTTTCCATCACGAGATTTTATATCTTTCGTCATCTTAAAAGCATAGACTTCGCATTTGCATCTCGGCAAAGTATGCGGTGCATTTTCGAGGCAAGGTGGAAAATCGGTTCACGCTGTCTCTTAAAATTCACGCGAAGGAAAATCTGCCGAACGATCTCACGCTCGATTATCTCCGCGGGCGACATTATCAAGCCATTAGGCTCACCGATGACGCTCTCGTTGCACTACCGACTCGTCATCGGATTCAAAATTCCAGCATGGGCGGGCGCGACGAAATGGCTCGTCTCCCTTCTGAAAGTCTCCTTTCCACCTCGTTCCCATCCTCGTGCTCTTCTCTTCCGCCATCGCGACTCGCACTTCCTCGCGCGACGACCGCATTAAGCACTTCGCAACGACAATTTACGATACATTTGTCGGAGGCGCGAGCACATCTCCCCGCGAAAAGTTTCCCGAAGGAGGATGGTGGAATTTTTCCGTTGACACCGTCGACATATTTTATATTCACGATATTCACTTAACATCTTTAAGTACTTTTTATTCTTACAAGTGACATATATCTATTTAATAGCTAGAAATGTCATTTGCCACACAATAAAGACAGTAGACTAATAAACATGTTACATTAATTTTAAGAAATATACGTATATTGAATAATCAACTATGCATTAAAAAATATCATACAAAATATATAACTAGCTTAATTAATCATATTGTGTCTCCAAAAGATCTATTGGTTCATTTATTTATTTGTTAGTTTAAATATTTGATTGTAGAGAGATCAATGATGCAAGTAATAATAATACTGAAATATATTAAAAATTTCTGATTAGAATGTTTTAATTTATAAAACGTTTTTATGTAGGTACACGATTTGCATTCTGGATTGGTGTTTATAGCTTTTGTAACAGCAGACGATAATTGAGTCTATATTCTCAAAAAGCACCTATCAACTCGAATTACAAAGCTGCTTTCCGCGCGCGCGACCGTATAGGAACCCGCGAAAGTTGTAACTCGAGCAACGAATGCGCTCGTGGATTGTTAATTAGGAGGCCCAAGTTTGCAAGGTAATCAGGAATCGCATTTCACCGGTGTACCCCGATGTGCCGCGCACGAAGTCGATTCATCAGCGGGGCGAACGGTTGTCATGGGGATGCGACCCGCCCTTCATGCTAGCCCCATGCAAACCTGCGCATTTCTCGAAAACTGTTTCCCTCACCTTTCGAACACACGCGAGAACGCAGTTCCTTTAGATATATGGCCACGAAATTTCTCACCGTTTACTTCTCTAATTGCTATTTCAGGAAATATTACCCGCTGTTTAAGATAGTAAATACGGCGAAAATATATTTAAATGACGCAACAACAGCTACCAGATACTTTAATAATATTGTAAAATGTGCAAATATAATGGAAATATAATAACCATACACATCGTTATCATATATTATCTTGTAATAAGTATCTAATTACAAATATATTTATAAATAAGTACTTAATTATATAATACTCATAATAAGTACTTATTTATAATTATATTTATATTTATGCATATAATTACCGCACATAAAAATAAGAAGCAATATTTAACACACCGTTTTTCTTCATTAAAATTAATATAGACATAAATTATTTAGATACACTAAAATTTTTCTTTTACAATTATGAGATATCTTTTTTACGAGGAATGTCGAAAATAGCATAGAATTTTCAATTATACGAAACAAAGGCAGTACAGCTGGAACAACACGAGAGAAGAACAAAAAAATGGCTTCATCATATCGCGGGATCTCGAGCTAAAAGAGACCTAAAAGCCTCCTTGGCACATTTAAGGACTCGTAATAATCTTCCACAGTGTCTCGGATAGTCATGGGAAGAATCGTTTATCGTGTGCCACAATCTCGTTCGCACGAAGATTTTCTAAGATATCGATCAGCTAATCCATACTTGAAACGGATTATGTATTCGCTAAAGTCATTCCTATATTGATGATTTTATTTTGAATATTTTCTTCTTTTCGCACGCTCATTTTGTTTTTCACGACTAAAGTCTACATCAAGTGCTTCAATTATTTCGAGCTATTACAAACTACCGATGGCAGAATCTAATTTGCCGTCGCTTTAATGAGTAATCATCCGATTAGATAAATATCTACGACGATGTTTCTTTTCATGCATCCATTTCATTCATCCACTAAGTATCTACAATCGTACAGCAAACAAACACATTCGTAAAATTAATCGCTTCCGGCACTGGACAAGTCTAGGGACTCCCGTTTTGGTGTTGAAGGATGAAGATCCGCACCTCAGCCTATGCTCAGATCGTGTCGCTAATTTCGATTCTCTTTTCTTCTCTGTGTAATGCTCCCACG